TGTGTTCAAGTCAGAGAAGACTGGAATTGCCCTTCCTAGTGTCATCATATATGAGTACATTAAAACTTGCCAAATTAACTTTGGCATACCAGTACCTATAGCTGTCTTCTTGCTTCCTACTTACAGAGGCCCAGTAAGGAAGAGTAGAACTGCCCGGGAAGCTTATATCCAGGGCTATAGATATAACCACTATAATACAGTGGTTCTCAACTGGTGGGTGGCGACCCCTTTGGGGGTCGAATGACCCTTTCACAGGGGCTGCCTGATTCATAACAGTAGCAAAATTACAGTTATGAAGTAGCAACAAAAATAATTTTATGGTTGGGGGGTCTATACAACATGAGGAACTGTATTAAAGGGTCGCGGCATGAGGAAGGTTGAGAACCACTGTCGTAATCGATGCAGACTGCCGTATCTTGTTCCCTTGAGTGGCATGTGGGGCCTAACTGCTGACCATTCGGTTGGCAGCTGAGTGCTTAACTGCTTTGCCACTAGGACTCCTTAACTACGCATGAATTTGTATAGATGTTCTGGATAAAATATTGAAGGTAACATCTTAGTGGTTTTTCCAGTAGCCCAGTTATTTGTTGTTCATGAAAACCAGCAGCATGCCTCATTCTGTTTGGGGACACGTAGAGTCAGAATTGACTCGATGGAAGTAAGGTTCGTTTATTTATTTATTTTTGTCCTTCTGTCAGAAACTGTTTGCTACGAAGAAAGATGCTAATTTTACTGTGTACTCAATACAATTAGGGCAATACACTAAGGACAATCTGTGGAATGACCTTAAGAACTTACGGGCTTACATCATGACATAACTGAAGAAAGCAACAGAGGAAAGGAAAGGAAGACCAGCGTGGATATCAGAAGACTCAACCTTGCTCTTAATCACAGAGTAAGTCAAGGTGCATGAAAGAAATGATGAAGTCAAAGAGATGAACAGAAAATTTCAAAGGGCAGCTGGAGAAGACAAAGTAAAATATTAGAAAACCTACAAAGAAGAACACACTTAGCATATCTTAAAATGAAGAACTAAAGACAAAATTCAAGCTTCTAGTTGCAATATTGAAAGATTCTATGGGCAACATATTAAACAATATAGGAAGCATCAAAAGAAGATGGAAAGAATACACAGAGTCACTGTATGAAAAAGAACTAGTTGACATTCAACCAAATGGTAGTATGTGAGCAAGAATCGATGGTACTGACAGAAGAAGTCCAAGATGCACTGAAAGCCTTAACCAAAACCAAGGCTCCAGGCATTGATGGAATACCAATTAAAAAGCTGCAACAACTGATCAAGCACTAGAAGCAATCATTTGTCTATGCTAAGAAATAACAAAAGACAACTACTTGGCCAACTGACTGGAAGAGATTCTTATAGGTACCCATTCCAAAGAAACATGTCTCAACAGAATGCTCAAACAATATTACTAACATCACAGGCAAGCAAAAATTTTTTACCTTTGTTTTTGTTTTTTTAGTAATTTTATTGGGGCCTCTTACAGCTCTTATCATAGTCCATCCATGTGTCAAGTACATTTGTACGTATGTTGCCATCATCATTTTCAAAAAAATGTCTTTGTACTCGAGCCATTGGTATCAGCTTATTTCCTCCCCTTCCCCCCACCCTCATGATCCCTTGATAATTTATATATACATTATTATTTTTTCCATGTCTTACATCAACCCCGTCTCCCTTCACCCACTTTTCTGTTGTCTGTTGCCTGGGGGTGGGGTGGGGCAGGGCAAGTTATATGCTGATCATTGTGATCAGTTCCTGCTTTCCCCCCCACACCTCCCCTTCCTTCCCCCATCTCCCCCACCTTCCGCTTACCCTCCTGGTATCACTACTCTCATTGGTCCTAAGGGGTTTATCTGTCCTGGATTCCCTGTGTTGTGAGCTCTTGTCTGTACAGTGTATATGCTCTGATCTAGCCAGATTTGTAAGGTAGAGTTGGGATCATGACCGTGGGTGGGGATAGGGGTGAGGGTGAGGAAGCATTAAAGAACGAGAGGAAAGTTGAATGTTTCATTGATGCTGTACTGCAGCCTGACTGGATCATCTCCTGCTTATGACCCTTCTGTAAGGGGATGTCCAATTGTCTACAGATGGGCTTTGGGTCTCCACTCTGCCCTCCCTCTCATTCATATCGATATGATTTGATTGTTTGTTTTGGGTCTTTGATGCCTGATATCTGATCCCATCGACACCTCATGATCACACAGGCTGGTGCACTTCTTCCCTGTGGGCTTTGTTGCTTCTCAGCTAGATGGCTGCTTGTTTATGGAGCCTTTAAGGCCCCATACACTATATCATTTGATAGCTGGGTACCATCAGCTTTTTTCACCCCATTTGCTTATGTACCATTTTGTCTTCAGCAATCGTGTCGGGAAGGTAAGCATCCCAGAATGCCGGGTTGTTAGAAGAAAGTGTTCTTGCATTGAGGGAGTACTTGAGTGGAGGCCCAATGTCCATCTGCTACCTTACTACTTAACAAATAAATGTATGTACATAGATCTGTTTCTCTATTGTTATATATAAATGTATTTACATATGTTCATGTATGTATTTGAACCTCTATAAATGTTCTTTGCCTCCTAGTTCTTTCCTCTATTTCCTTTTACTGCCCTCTTGTCCCACTATCATGTTTGGCCTTCATTTGGGTTTCAGTAATTCCTCTCAGCTACATTGCCCTTGATCAAGCCCCACCACCCCCCATCCCATCCCATCCGATGCCTTCCTTGCCATCTATTTTAGATCACTTGTTGCTCCCTTGTCCCTGGGTTTGTTAAAATCCACTTTTTGCCCCCGCCTCCTCCCAGAACTGTTGGTCCCTTTATATTCTCCTATGGATTGTTTATCCTGCCTATCTTGTCCAGATAGATATGCAGCGACAATAATGAGCACAAAAACAAGACAAAGTAAAATGTAACAACAAAAGAAAACAAAAAACAAAGCAGCTACAACAACAATGAAAACCAATAGCAAAGAAAGAAAAGCCTATAAATAGTTCAAGGTCTGTCTGCTGACCTTTATGAGTGTTTCCAATCGAGTCTGATGGCGTGCCATGCCCTGGCCCCAAAAGCCTATTTTCGGTCTTCCTCAGGGACTTCATTGCTCCCTCCCCTTGCTGCTCTGTTGCACGCCCATAGTGTTTCACCCAGTGTGATGGGGTCAGATCTGGCACAATTCTCACACTGTGTCTCCAGTGTTGTCCCCCCTAGTACTACGGGTCAGTGAGGGAAATCTTGTCTCATGGTGGGGCCGGCTCTATCATCCTTGAAAGCAAAATTTTGCTGAGTCACCCACAGCATTTGTAGTAGTACATTGATAGGGAGGTGCCAGAGTCTCAGGCCTGATTAAAAAGAGGAAGTAGAACAAGAGGTATCATTGCTGATGTGAGATGCATCTTGGCTGAAAACAGAGAATACCAGAAAGATGTTTATCTTTGTTTCATTGACTATGTCAAAGCATTCAACTGTGTGTACCATAACAAACTGTGGCTACCCTTGAGAAGAGTGGGAATGTGTTCATGCAGAACTTGCACATAGATCAAGAAGCAGTTGTGTGAACAGAACAATGGAATAGTGCATAGGTTTGTATCCACTCACCACTCATTCAATCTGTCTGCTGAGCAAATCATCAGAGAAGTTTGCTTTTATGAAGAAGAATGCAGGATCAGGATTGGAGGAAGGCTTATGAACAGCCAGTGATATGCAGACGACACAGCCTTGCTAGCTGAAAGTGAGGAGGCATTGAAACACTTGCTGATTAAGATCAAGGGTTGCTGCCTCTAGTATGGATTAGCATTCACTGTAAAGAAGTCCCAAATGCTCACAACTGAACCAATAAGTAACATCACGGTAAACTGAGCGAAGATTGAAGTTGCTGAGCATTTCTTCTTGCTTGGATCCACAATGAAGGCTCATGGAAATAGCAGTCAGAAGATTAAATGACACATTGCATTTGGTGAATCTGCTACATAAGACCTCTTAAAAATGTTGGAAAGCAAGGATATTACTTTGAGAACTGAGGTGTGACTGACCCATGCTATGCTATATTTAGTTGCCTCACATACAAGTGAAAGTTGACTAAGAAAGACTGAAGAAGAATCATTCATTTGAATTATGGTACTGGCAAAAAATATTGAAAGAACCATGAACTGCAAAAAACAAACAAATCTGCCTTGGAAGAAGTCCCACCAGAGTGTTCCTTAGAGGCGAGGATGGAGCGTTTGCCTCATGTACTTTGAATAAGGACATTCTGCTGGGTAAATCAGAGGGTTACAAACCAGAGGAAAGCAAAGGCCCTCCATGAGATGGATTGACATGGTGGCTGCAACAGTGGGCACAAACATAATAATTAAGAGAGTACAGGAGTGAGCAGTGTTTGTTGTTGTTGTACATAGGGTTGCTGTGAGTCAGAACTGACTCGATGGCATCTAACAATAAACGTATTTTACAAATAAATTGTAATGTGTAAACCATCTAGAAATTTTTCATCTCCCTTTTGATAGTCTTGCTATTTTGATGATGACACTTTTGATCGAGTCAGCTATCTGAACGGTGTTAAGTACCGTGTTATGTATCTGAACGCATTAAAGGGTGTTATGTATTTCCTTCTCCCAACCCAGCTCCCCATGCGATGGTTTGAAAACTTAGGGCTTTTGTTTTTCTTTTTTCTTTGTAGTTAGAATTTTCACCCTGATATTAACATCCTTATATTTTCTTCACTGATTCTCATTTAAAATAGCTCTTGTATAAATTTTTATGCAGGAAAAATTATTGCTTTGACACTTTAGAAGAACTTTTTTATAAAAGGCATTTTGAAAAACTAAAAGATCTAAATTTTTCGAAATGACTGATTTTGCATACTTCATAGGCTAATTAATCACATTAGCATGGAATTTTTTTCTCTGTATAGTTAATTTGGTCTATTTTACCCTCATATTGTGAAAGGAAAATGATATACATTGATTTCGTTCTATTTTTCATAGCTATTGACCTAAAAAGTGGTTCTGGACAAATGTACCAAGGCCCTGCGAAAGGCTCTGCTGACATAACCATGGTGATTTCAGACGAAGACTTCATGCAGGTGGTCCTGGGCAAGCTCAACCCTCAGAAGGTGATGTGCTCCAAGTGTTCATGTGTTCCTCATGGTTGTTTATTTGGTAATTGCACATCTTGAACAGACTCTCACATTCTGATGTATAAGATAGGTTCCTTACAATGCCAAAGAAGACATAAACCAAAATAAACCAAACCCTATTGATTCCTGCTCATAGTGGCCCTACACACAGAGTAGAACTGCCCCAAAGTATTTCCCAGGCTATAAACCTTTATGGAAGTGGACTGCCATGCCTTGCTCCTGTGGAACTGCTGGTGGGTTTAGGCCACTGGCCTCTTGATTAACAGCCAAGAATTTAACCATGGTAATACTAGGGCTCCTTGAAGAAGGTATGCTTGGTGTCAGATAATATGTTACTTTAATGGTGTTTTAGCTGATGCTGAAAGTGGGATTTTTTGGAGAAATTCTCCAGCATACAGCAAGACAGTGTAAAACACGTCTAGAGTTTTAAAATGATTGCCAGTAGTTAAAAGGTTAAAAAGAAGGAAAGAACGTGGTATTTATATAAACAAACGAAACCAAACCCGTGACATCAAGTTGCTTCCACTTCTTGGTGGCCCGCTGTGCCGCAGAGGAGAGCTGCGTGTAGCTGGCATCGTCACAGATGCAGGTGGCTCCCTTTCTTTCATGGACACCCGAGCTGACTGCTTGTGCCATGCAGGGACCTATCATATTAGTATAATGAATAAAATTAATCATTACTTCTCTGTACATTTAATTAAGGAATTGCACTAAACTGAAAAAGTACGGATTGTTTTAACATGATAGCCAGTGTCCTACTTTATGATTAAGCATTTAGAGACATTTCAGTGGAAAATTGTGATTAAGAGGAGAGATCCTCTAAAAGTTACTAGTTACTATTGTTCAGGAACTTTTGGCCAATCAAGAAAGATAAAAATTTAAAGAAACTGATGAATCAATTAGAATAGAGGCGAAATTTTGGTATTTTCAAATCATGTGATTAGGTAGTTAAAAATATCAAATCAACGGATTATTTCTCAGAATGAGGAAATTCAAATAAGTGGTTGCATGTGCATTGTCCAAAAATAGCTTTCGCTTAGCAACAAAAGCAACTAGAAAATATATTTGAAAAATGTTTTTATTTATAATATCAACCGAAGCTACAAAATGTCAGTGACTACTCTGACAATAAGGACCCCTGGCAATGTAGTGGGTTCCATGTTGGACTGCTGACCCCAAAGACAGCAGTTTGAAGCCATCAGCAGCTTCATGGGAGAAAGATGAGGTTTTCTACTCCCATAAAGATTAACAGTCCCAGAAGCCTACAAGCCAGTTGTACTTTGCCCCACACAGTGTCATTATGAGTCAGAATCGGCTTGATGGGAGTATATCTGAGTTTTTTGACCCCAATAATAAAAGCACAGTGCTTATTTGAAAAACTATGCAACTTTATAGGAAAGAGAAACAATTTGGATAAATAAGGGAATGTACTATTTTCCAGGATAAGAAGACCAATTTAAAAATAATTATAAAGCAAAAAGGAGATGAAGAAATAAGGTCTTAGGCATCATGAATTTTAGATTTGTTGCTCTTCTACTAAACCCCGGTTTTTTCTCATTTGTTAAATGAATGTAATATTAGTAATGTGTCCAAAGGATTGTTATGAGAATTAAATTAGAAAAAAATTTTTGCGTGTGGTATGCTAACTTTTAAAAAATTAAAAAAATATAATTTTATTGGGGGCTCATACGAATGTACAAATGTGCTTTATACAATTGATGTATGTGTGGATTGTGATAAATCAGAATAATTATCAAGAATTTAGCGGAGTGCTTGGCATAGAGTGGGCTAAGTAATTCCTTCCCAGGAACTTGGTTAGTACCCAATCAGGTAGAATTGTTGTAGGTGTTAGATGGACAGGACCGTGCCCCTAAGGTCATGGGCGTGGCATTAAAAAGAAATAAGATTTAAGGTTTGAAGAAAAATAAGGGATAGGAATGGATTAGAGCACTGTTTGGTAAACTATTTTCTATAAAGGGCCAAATAGTAAATATTCTGAACCTTGGGGCCACATACTCAGCTCTAATCCTGTAGCATTAAAGCAACTGTGCCCAAACCCAACCCACAGCTATTGAGTCAGTTCTCACAGAGACGCTTGAGCTTAGCTGTCCCAATGAAACTTTTATGTAAAAACAGTTAGACTAGATGCGGTGTGTGTACCATGGTTTGCCACTGCCTGGCCTATGGTGTGATAGTTTGTGAACTATTTAGATGGAATTGTCAGAAAACACCCAATGGAGACCTGAATAAAATGAAGAAATGAGCCATGAGACTAAAGAAACCACTAATGCAAAGGTCAAAGGCAAGGGTCTTTGCTTATTGGAGGGCTGTAACAGTGAAGAGGCCAGAAAAGCAAGTAAAATGAACACGAGAGAGATTATCATAGGGGGAAAAGGACTCTAGATGAAAATATCTTCTATAGTGATCTGAAGAAATTATGTGGGGCCACATCTGACCACTTTCAACTAGATAAAAAGGAAGGAGAATCCAAATCCACATTTTCCCAAGGACGATTCCCATGGGGGTCAGGTATGCCTCTATGGCCCACCTTTCTTTGCTCTGATGTTAACTGTCCCTTCCATAGCGCTCTACATCTCTGTTCGGTCCCTCGTCTCCCAGCCTCTGCCCTGCTCGGGCAAGTGTCACAGAGCGTCTTTAGCACTGAGAAAGGCCCAAAGGGCACTCCACTTTAAGCCAGCCCCCCTGCCCAGAGGCACTCAGCCTTACTGGTTCTGTTTGCTGGGACGCCTGCTTCTCTGGCTCACAGTCTCGGTGTTGTGGGCTCTGCTGCCTCTGCTGCCTCAGGCAAGGATCGCACACATGCTCTGCTGGTGGCTCTTTGTTCTTGTGGGTTGTAGGGATTCTCTTCTTACTTCTGAGATGGCACTCTCTTATACCCAGTAGAATGGCAAAATACCATCCCCAGAATTAAGAGTCCTTTTGTACATGGCATCACTATGAGTTGGAACGGACTCAAGGGCACCTAACAGCAAAAACAACAACAACAACTGCTTATTTGCACAATCCTATCTAGTCATTTGTTGGAATTTACAAAGATTATGGCTGGAAGAGCCAGACCAAGTAATATCACTTCACCATAACGCCCTTTTATTAAACCTTAGTAAATAGGACAACAACAACCAAAAACAATCTTCCTGGATAAAGGAAACTATCAGCATGAAATCAAGTCTGCTGACTCATGGCACTGGGATGAATGATAAATGATCAAAGACAGAGGAAATCATCATAGACTCATGATTGGTGGTAGTTCAATTAATCACTGTCGAAAGTAGTTCTACAGAACTGGGGCTAAGGACCATTAATGGATATGCGCACACACACACACACACACACAAAATTGCAAGCCTACAGAACTGGTGCTGAGGCTGCAACCACCTAGCCACATGGTAGTCAGGTATGACTTAGGACCACTCTGAGTCATAGCCATGGGGGGATCCAGCTAGATAGCATGGACTATTTTCAGGGCATAGTCAATTAAGTTCACCAATTCTCTGTATAAGCCTGATAGCAAAACCACCCTTCTCTGGGTTCACATAGGAGATACAATCTACTTTCAAACACATTCTGCCTGAGAACAATGCTGCTTCACCCTAGGGTTTCTTCCAGTTGTCGAAGTTTTAGCCACATTACTGGTTTAATGGTCAGAAAGAACTTATGTCGAATGGATTTAGGGCTCCTGTTGCAGACTGCACCCCTCCACAAACCAAATGGTGGACAGGGGCTGGGGCGTATAGGATCTTACAGATTTTGGCAAGGCATTTAGATCTTATTGAGTGTGATAAGAAGCCATTGAGTGGTGGGATGGCATATCTGATTTATAAAGGTAGTTCTCACTGCTGAATGGAAACATGACTATGGGGAAGAGATTAGGCATTCAAGATATATAATTGCAGAAATGGCATAGGGGCTACATTCTACCTCTTCCGACTATGGGATGAAGGAGAATCCAACTCCATACCAACTCAAGTCTGATTTTTGTGAGACAGAGGCCAGACATGTCTCCCCTTTAAACCCGATTTATCTTATTCTGACACCAACTGCTTCCCCCACAGTATGCTACTTCTTTGCAGGCTTAGATAATCTGTTAATATGACCACACAGAACCCACAGATAATACCCATGATTATACGATTTTATTAGGGAATTTAACAGGTCACAAAAGCAGGATCAGAAACATTAAGGATACAATTCTTTCATCCACAGAGCTTCTGTCTCTGCTGTGCCAGTAGACACATCTCTCTGGCCCTCAACCTCTTAGTTGTGTGGCATCTTGGTCTCTGTTGTCCTTGAGTAAGGGTTACAAACCTCCTTTAGCACTGATAAATGCTCAAAGGGCATCCCACTCTGCAAGCCAGCCTACCCCTGCACTCATTTTGACTTGTTCAATGAGCCAGGAAACCTGCCATTCTATGTATCACTCTCTTTGTTGCCACTGCGCCTTCTCACAGAGATCTTGAATATAGTCTGTTCTCAGCTCTTCTTTCTTCATGATCATGGGATTCTCTGTACCTGCTATGGGATTATACTAAATGTTTCACTTTATACGCAGCACAATGACAAAACGGACAGATTTCCGAGTTAGAGGGCTCTACGCCCTGTGGTATAGTGGTTGTGCACTGGGCTGCTAACCACAAGTTCAGGAGTTTGTAACCACCAGCTCCTCTGAGGAAGAAAGACAAGGCTTTCTACTTCTGTAAAGAATTATACTTTCAGAAACCCAAAGATGGGGCAGTTTTACCTTGCCCTAAAGAATTACCAGGAGTAAAAATTGCCTCTGGTAGTGAGTTCTTTTTGGTTTGGGATGCCTTATTGCATACTTACAATAAATCATCTGGAGGCAGGTACAAAGACTATTAATAGAAGAGTCACATTAACTAATTTCACTTCACTACAGTTATTGTCGAAATGCTTCTATAGAGAGTAGGAGCCTTGGTGGCATAATGGTTTACTTGTTA